CGTCCATGCTTGTAGCTGCCACCACCTCCTGTGGTAGTGAATTCCACATGTTAATCACTCTTTGGGTGAAGAAGGACTTCCTTTTATCCGTTCTAACTGCACTGCTCAGCCATTGCATGGAGTGCCCCACGAGAGTTCTTGCATTGTGAGAAAGGGAGAAAAGTACTTCTTCCTCTGCCTGCTCTATCCCATGCACAATCTTATAAACGTCTCACCTTGTCAAACTTCTCAAAGAGTTTAGCGCTGGGCTGGTGGATGGTGCAGATGATGGTCCGGCCGCCTTGAGCCAGAGACTTCAAGAGGGAGACCACCTGGAAGCAAGAGGAGCTGTCCAGTCCGCTGCGGAAAGTTGGCGAGAAGAAATGCCGGGTCAGAGAGCAAAAGGCAAGGGTGGAGAGCAATGTCCCCTCTAATTCGTTCCCCCTGCTGAGCAGAGCAGTTCACCTCCCGAGCAGAACAGAACGGCTGAAATCTTAACATGGGCAATGGGCAGATTGCTGCTGACCAAGGGGTCACAGAAAAAGAGGTGCAGGAGCTCATTTGCATACCTCATTAGCATAACTCATTTGCATATGCCATGCCCCCTGACATCACCAGAAGTGTGTCAGAAGGCAACACCCACCGCTCAGTCTCCACTGGACTGTTTTGGATTGCTAGCTATTGGGGGGGGGGGAAACGGGCAGATCTGCCCTCACAGAAAAGGGAGAGCTTGTACCTGAATAAACCTTGGCCTTAAAGGTGCCACTGGACTGTTTTGGAATGCTAGCTGGGGGGGAGGGAATGCACAGATCTGTGCAGAAAGGAAGGAGAGAAAGAAAGAGAAGGAAAGAAGGAGGGAGAGGAAAGAGGGAAAGAAAGAGAAGGAAAGAAGGAAGGAAAGAGGGAAGGAAAGAGGGGGAGAAGGAAAGAAGGAGGCAAAGGGAAATAAGGAGAGAAGGAGAGAAGGAAAGAAGGAGGGCTGCTTCTTGCTCCTCGTGGCCCGGGGTTGCTGGAAGCAGAGGGCGGGGCTTGTTGCATGTGCCCGCCCCCCGGACTCTTTACTGCCAGAGCTCTACTCCTGTGCGCTCCGGCAGGAAATGACTCCTGAGTGGGGCTTCTGTGTTACTAAGCGGCCGCTCATGGGCAGAGAAGTGTTGTTAGCATGGGGCCAACTCTGGCCTTCCACTTCTGTTTTTCGGCCGCTTATGTGTTAAAAAGCCTGTTTTATTGCAATCCGCGTTGGGCCTGGCTCCAGGTTTCTAGGGCCCGCATTTCTGGGCCTCTTCCTTAGCTTTGCCCTGGCTCCTTGGCTCAGAAGGAGATCTACAAAACGGTCTGTTTCTTTGTGGCTGTGCCTTCTGCTTACATTTAGCCATTTAGTTCTCTCCCCCCCCCAATTCCCTACTTTTTTTTAAATAAACATTTTATTTAAATATTCAACAAATAAGAACAATGTACATTAGTAGAATGACATTTAAAAACAGAATTTTAAACAGATACAGCTTTAAACAAACATACATCTAACATTGTACAGCTTTGCTAAAGGTAAGTCTGTTAAATGATCTGTTCATTTCTTGAACCTAAAGTATCCAGCCACTCTTGATAAAGTCAAAATATTGTGAATTACATAGTTGTTGAACTTTTTCCAAAACATATTCTGCATTTTCTAAAATCGGTGACCATCTGGAGAAAGATGATTGATGATCATAGAAAGGGTCAGAGTTTGCTAGCTTATCTGATATTTTATCCATCAATAGGTGGTCCCAAACCTTCATGAGCCATGTTTTGACTGATAAGGGAGAAGAATTCTTCCAACTGAGTGCAATCGTTTTTGCTGCAGATAGTAGAAGGGACAGCAATTCTTTGTGATTTTTGGATATAGGAACTTTGTTCCAATAGTTTAACAATATTATTTCTGGGCTTTCAGGGATTTCATAACCTGTTAAAGGTTTAATTTCGCTAAGAACTAGTTTTCAAAACAATTCTACTGATTTGCATTCCCACCAACAATGTAGATAGGATCCTATGGAGCCACAATTTTTCCAAAACATCGGTGATAACTTTGGATTCATCCGATGTAATTTCAGCGGTGTTAAATACCATCTGGTTAACAGTTTGAAATTTTGCTGTTTTATATTAATAGACTTCGAGGTGGACAACCTAGGACCACATCTGAGATTACTTATTTTTCGCATTTATATCCTGCC